TGTCTGCATGTATGCATGTATGCATGAATATGTGTATGTATGTTTGTTTGCATGTATGCATGTACGCATGTACGTATGTATGTATGTATGTATGTATGTATGTATGCATGTATGCACGTATGTACGTAAGTACGTACGTACGTATGTATATGGTCTTGGCATGCATAAACGCATCGAGCAAATAAATCAATGAAAGTATGTCACCTTACATACAAAATCCTCATTAAGTAAGCATCTATACATATACACATACATACATACATACATACATACATACGTACATACATACATATGTATATATATATATACATTGTACTGGACAAAGCGCAACTCCAGGCTTCACATTCCGGCAGCAGCAACGCGTCGCCTTCGTCCTGGCAGAACTTGAAATCCTTTTTTGTGCACTGGATGTTCAGCCTGCGGCGGGTTACCGGTTACCGTGGGGGTCAACTCCCAAGGGTTTCTCAGAAACCCTAAAATGACGATCCTCCGATGCAATGTGGTCCCACACAAGGCTCGTACTGGGCCCAGTAGCTTCTCCAGCTTGCATGACATCAGCCGCCTCCTTCAATATCAAGAAAGCCTTGATGGCTGTAGTGGTAATGAGGATGATGGTAAAGATGAAAACGGTGATGGCTGGCAGTATTCATTCCGGCGGCGGTGGCAGCAGCTGTGATTAAACCTGCAGAACATCCATTGTGCAATCAGGGAGCACAGGGCCTACGGCGAGTGCAGCCTTACCTCCGGACAATGGTGCACCCTGAAACCCGTGGGCAGGCTGTTTTGTCCCTGCAGATAACTTTTTTGTTTGATGCAGGAACACGGCGGACCGTGAAGCGAAACCCCTTGCGGCTCGCGCAACGCTTACACCTTTGTCATTCAGACAAGGCTTCACAACATGCCCAGCCTCAGTACAGAACCAGCATACCATAAGCCGGGGCCAAACCCGGTTACAAATAACACTCACTGCAGGCTTGAGCCCGCAAGGTCCCATTTACTAGTCACTAGACCACGACAAACACTCAGATCACAAGGATGCCCGAAACCAACCAGTCTTCGGGTCATCTTGCCTGGGTTACGTCCCTAAACCCTAAACCGGGTTAGGTTTCGTTATAGGTCAACCCTATGGAATGAGATTACATTGAAGTCATTTATATTCTGGAAGATCCCTCGGTCGAGGTCCGGCGAGCCTCTGTGGAAGCATCGTCCGTGCGCACACCTGAGCTGTGGCTGAAGGATCTGCAAACAAACTCGCATGGGGCTTACGGATTGGGGAATCAGCGGCTTCTATACACGCTTTAAAGGGCTTAGATGCGCTTCGTGAGTATTCAAGCACGGCATTGTGAAGGAGGTGCGCGTATGTTTCTTTGGGCTAAAGCCGAGATTTAGGAGACTGTTAGACTCTTTTGCATGGTTATCGTTATTGTGGTCGTGGTCGTGGCAGCCGCACTCGTGGTGGCAGTAGGGGAAGACGAAACTGTAGTAGCCGGACCATCAGGAGAAGCAGGAGCTGCAGCTACGGTAGGGACAGGCTCGAAGCCATGAACAAGTAAAAAGGGGCCTTGATCACCCAATACTCCAGCCCACTCAATCGAAAGCAAGCCGCTGATGCGATCGACCTCTTTGTCGATGGCCTGTTGAGCACGCAAGCGTATATGCCCCGTCTTTACCAAACATCGGGCCGCCATGTTGGGCTTTTTCATCACAGGGCTCCGACTGTTTGCATACTGGGCCCCCTTATTCTCTGAACCTCGTCTGTGATTAACCCTTACCGATCCCGTATAGCAGGCCTTGTAGGACCTTTGAGCCCATAAAGAATTATCACACCCGTATGATTATAGCAGCCCTTATAGAATTATAGCCGTTACTTTAAAAAAAACCATGTTTCCGAAACCCTAAACCCCTAAACCCTTATATAACCGTTTTTGCCTTCTAGTATGCAGCCTCTCTCCAAATTCAGGAAAATCCAGGGACTTCTTCGGCCAAGGGGTTACTTTGAAGGGCTTCTGGCCGGGATTACAAAACTACTGTTACTATAAGGGTATTTCGTGGCTTAGCTTCGGGGCTGCAATAGGGCTTTGGTGTATACTGCAGCCACCATTAGTCACGGAACTCAGGATAATACCACATATTTCTATTCAGGCTTCAGTAGTCTGTACAGTAGTGAGGCCAGACCCTGAACTGAAACTGGCAAACTGTTCGAAGCTGGGGCTTTGCACGTGCATCAAAACTGACATGTAAGGCAAGAACTCATGGGGATTTGCAAACCTCTCCCTTTGCTTCAAAAAGCATGCATCCCTGGCGCCTTCTCCAAAGCTTCCAGCCTTTGGGTAGTCCTTGGTCGCGGCGCATGGGCAGATCTGCTGAAGCTCCAAGTGCCCGAATTCCAGGGCATAACACAACAGATATTAGCAAATACCAATGCTACTATTCATAATTACGGTAAAACTAATGAGAATCACGATAAATCTGACAATAACAAGAACAATTCGAATTATTATGATAAGAGTAATAATACTAAGAATACTCATGATATTAATACCACGATTAATACCAATAGTAGGTATAATAGTAATGGTAGTACTAATAATAAAAAGAATAACAACATTCACAATAACAACGAACATGCCCGAATTCCAAAGGGAAGCTGCGCGAGTGGCTTCTGACAGAAAGCCGGGCTGCTCGTCTGCTGCACTGGGCTCTGCAAGTGGCTCCTGCAGGACACAGAGGTGTTTTTTCACATGCTTAGAGGGGTCACATGGCTAACGTCAAATGGCATGTACAAAGTGCACGGCCTCTGTAAAACTGTAGATAGATAGACAGATAAATAGAAAGAGGCAGAGACAAGTACTGTAAATAGAGAGAGAGAGAGAGGAAGAGAGAGAGAGAGAGAGAGAGAGACCGAGAGAGACAAAGACAGGACCTAAGCAGCAGGAGTCTGTAGTAGAATTTTTACTAGGAGAACATGCACATCTCGTGTACGTCGTGTCTCAAAACTCGAACCAGGAGGGCATCTGCGGCATGTGACTGTGGCAACTTGTCTTCTGACTTGGATGCACTGCCGATTGTCATGGTGAGCACGAGGTGCCACTCCGTACTTTAAGTACAGAATCCATCTGAGTCTTGGCTGTCCATGCTGTGACGGAAGCCAGGACGACGACAGGCCGCGGTGATATCACAAGGCAAATTAAGAATTAGAAAGATATCAAAACCGCTATCAAACCGGGAGTGTGACAAGAGGACCTGTTCGAAAAACAGTATACAGACAGGGTACCTCAAGTACCACATGTTAAGCAAAGCTTTCTGCACTGCGGCAGAAGCGGTGTTAAGCTATGATCGCAGTGGGCATAGTCAACTCAAGCAGCTCTCTGTGCCGGAGTCGAGCCGACTGCCCTACCTTGCCCTGAACCCTAGATCGGGAGGTTCTCAGATGGGTCGAACTGCACGCCACAGGCCATGTTAGCTGGCACCGCGATGTCAATCTGCTTCGGGTTCGGAAGGTTTAGGTCCTCCATGAACTTCGCAAAATCCTCTGGCGACTTCGTCAGGCGAGGGTTGAACATCTTCTCCTGTAGCACCGTCGACACGCCTCTGTCCTTGTAATCATGGCCTGGACAGACGAGGGCATCATCTGGAAGAGTGAAAACCTGCGCGTGAACGCTGTCATGGAGAGTTAAGGAGTTGCCTTGCTGGAAGTCTGTCCTGCCGCAGCCACGAATCAGAAGGGTGTCACCGGTGAAGGCAAACGTGGCCGTCTGGGTCTTCAAAACATATGTCACGCAGCCATCGGTGTGGCCCGGAGTGGCGCGAACCTCCAGGGAAAGGTCGCCAAAAGCCACCTTCTCCCCGTGCTGCACGTGGATGTCGGCTTGTGCCCCAGAGTTCTTGGAGATGATGGTCTGCACCTGTGGGGAATCCTTTCGGATCACACCACCGGAAGTCACATGGTCTGCGTGGCAGTGCGTGTTCAGCACGTACTTCAAATTCAAGCCCAGCTCCCTGATAGCTTTCAGATCACGATCCTTGTGCTCCAAAACTGGATCGATCAGCACAGCTTGCTTGGTGGCTGGACAGGCAATTAGGTACGTCAAGGTGCTGGACACGGGGTCAAAGAACTGCCTCACCTCAGGGCTGTGCTGAATCAGTGGACCATCCCTTTCTCCCAGCGAGGGCAACCTCGACTGGAGCCAAGCTTTGGCCTCGGGTCTCACGGTGTCGATCTGGAGATCTGCTACCAACAGGTCTATGCAGCCTGGCGTATAGCCATGCATCTTCGCCATCCACGCGAGCATGGCGATGGCAGCTCGGTTTGCGCTGGTGCACTGGATCATCAAAGGACGAGGCATTCGGGCAATGCAGCTAGCTACCTGCTCAACGACGCTGGCTGGCAGGTCTTTGCTTGGCTTGAAGGGGACGACCTCCAGCTCACAGCCTGCTGCCTGGATGGGTGCAGGGAAGTAATGCTCATCCGAGGTCTCATTCAAATACAGCCATCCCCTGCAGTGGCTCGCGAGCTGTCCCACCACGTCGGAGGGCAAGTTGCCACTGAGCAAGATGTCTCCAGGCAGCGCTGGTCGGCGGAGCGGGAACCGGGCTTGCATGTTCTGGAGCTCTTCAAGCTTCACCTTGTCCTGAATAGGTGCGCCGGCAGAGCAGCCCATGTCTGACAGGAAGACTACACGAGGCGACAATTCGCGACACTCCTGATCCAGCTCCTGAGCCGCAGCCATTTTCATCTGCAGGCTTCCAGCTTAGTATGTATACATAATTGCTTTTTGCTTTGTGCAAGCGGGGATGCATGTGGTGTGCTTGGCGACATCGAAACAATCTCCCAAACCCTAAACCCTAAACTACAACCGTTACGTATCATTATCATTTCTACACGCACAGTGCCGGTTCGGCCTATGCCAGCGGCTTCGCAGCTCGCACAGCTGTTTTTTCTGTTATTATATAGTATAGTATGGTATATAGTGTGTAGTATGTAGTATGTAGTGTATGGTATATAGTGTATATATATATATAGTATATAGTATGTAAAAAAAATTATATCTATAGAGTATATAGTATATAGGGGGTATATATATATATAGATAGAGAGAGAGAGAGAGAGTATAGTGTATATAGAAAAACATATCCTGTATAGTATAAAGGACATAGAAGTGTATTTCTAGTATAGTTAGTATAATACAACATACAATATTTGTTTATATATATATATGTATGTATGTATATAATATCAATATCTGAATATAGCAACCGACCGTCCTTCTCGTCGCAGCTATCCACAAACATGTCTCCGACCAGCAGCTGCGCCTGAATGCGTCCGGGACGTGTGGGCACTAGACAACACTGTCACTGGTTGGCCCTTTAAAGCCTCTGAAAAAAGATTAGTAAATAGGGTCCTCTTAAGCCCAAGAAGGGAAAATACAACATATCCAAAAGGCCTACCTAGTGTCAACTTGCGCGAAATAGACAAAAGACCTTTCAACCCAGGCTTTTCAAGTCAGCTTTCACGACAGACTTCCCTCTGGAGCCGGGCAGAAGAGATCTAAAGCCTGAACTGGGCCTAAACCGCTAGTTAATGTACGCAGAAAGCCGAGCGAAATCCTACCGCAAAATTGACAGTTTTGGAGTTCTGTTTTTTTTTCGACTTTGCTCCATCCTCTGTAGCCCTTTGAAGCAGCCGGGTCCCCTAAGATGTAAACCCTAGGTCCATGCCTCTGCTTCAGCGGGGATGGGCCGCTGGTCAGCCCTCAACTCCTCGGGGCCACGGGCATTCTGCTCCGCTGGCTGCATTTCTGCCGACCCGCCGATGTTCGCTGAGGTTTCTGTGGGCACAGTCTCCGCTTCCCTCGCCACAACTACACCCTCCTCAGCCTCATCCGGCATGAAAGCTTGCCGCTGCTGCTCTGGCAAACGATCCGTCTCCACCTCTAGCTTGGCCTCACTTGGCTGCTCCTCTTCGGCTAGTACCTGGGGCTTTTGCATCTGTTGCTCCTGCGGCTCTTTTGGTTCCTTGGAAAGCAGCTCTTCTTCAGGGTCTGCCTTTGAGAGGCCAGCCGCATCCTCTTGCTCTTCAAGACTTTTGGCTTGCGCCGCCTCCACTGCTGCTTCTAGAAGTTGTTGAATCTGGGCTTCAGCGGATGCATCATCTGTTGCTTCCTTGGCGAGCTGCTCCCAGTCCGCTTTCGCAACGACTTCCGCAGCCTCTTTTGCCAGGCGCTCCTCTTCATCTTGTGTAGCTTCATCAGCTTCGGCTGCATCTGTCTTCAACTTCTTGTCCTTGGCAAGGAGCTCCCCCTCATCTTTGGTGGAAACTGCCTGACCTCCTTTCGCTAGGCAGTCTGCTTCAGCATTCTGACCTGCGACTTCGCTTGCAGCTCGCTTTGCTTTGAGCTCCTCTTCAGCAGCCTTGGCTTTCTCAGGTTCGGCGGCCTCTGGTGCCTGATTTGCGATGGACTCATCTTCACGTTTCGTAGCTTTGGCTGCATCTGCCGTTTCCGTGGCAACCCGAGTCAGAGCAGCTTTCGCAGCTTCATCTGCCATGCCTTGCTCTTCAGCTTTCACTGCAGCTTCCGCAGCCTCTTTTGCTACAGCATTCACCAAGGCTTCCGCAGCCTCTTTTGCTATGCGTTCCTTCGCTTTCTCTGCAGCTTCGTTGGCGGCACGCTCCTCGTCAGCTGTCGCTGCAGCTTCTGCAGCCTCTTTTGCTAGGCGCTCCTCTTCCGTCTTCTTCGCTTTCTCTGCTTCTGCTTTCTCTGCAGCTTCCTTGGCGGCACGCTGCTCCTCAGCTGTCGCCGCAGCTTCTGCAGCCTCTTTTGCTAGGCGCTCCTCTTCCGCCTTCTTTGCTTTCTCTGCTTCTGCTTTCTCTGAAGCTTCCCTGGTGGCACGCTCCTTTTCAGCTGTGTCTGCAGCTTCAGCAGCCTCTTTTGCTACGCGCTCCTCTTCGGCCTTCTTCGCTTTCTCTGCAGCTTCCTTGGCGGCACGCTGCTCCTCAGCTGTCGCCGCAGCTTCTGCAGCCTCTTTTGCTAGGCGCTCCTCTTCCGCCTTCTTTGCTTTCTCTGCTTCTGCTTTCTCTGAAGCTTCCTTGGCGGCACGCTCCTCTTCAGCTGTCGCTGCAGCTTCTGCAGCCTCTTTTGCTATGCGCTCCTCTTCGGCCTTCTTCGCTTTCTCTGCTTCTGCTTTCTCTGCAGCTTCCTTGGCGGCACGCTGCTCCTCAGCTGTCGCTGCAGCTTCTGCAGCCTCTTTTGCTAGGCGCTCCTCTTCCGCCTTCTTTGCTTTCTCTGCTTCTGTTTTCTCTGCAGCTTCTGCAGCCTCTTTTGCTAGGCGCTCCTCTTCCGCCTTCTTTGCTTTCTCTGCTTCTGCTTTCTCTGAAGCTTCCTTGGCGGCACGCTGCTCCTCAGCTGTCGCTGCAGCTTCTGCAGCCTCTTTTGCTAGGTGCTCCTCTTCCGCCTTCTTTGCTTTCTCTGCTTCTGCTTTGTCTGAAGCTTCCTTGGCGGCACGCTCCTCTTCAGCTGTCGCTGCAGCTTCTGCAGCCTCTTTTGCTATGCGCTCCTCTTCGGCCTTCTTCGCTTTCTCTGCAGCTTCCTTGGCGGCACGCTGCTCCTCAGCTGTCGCTGCAGCTTCTGCAGCCTCTTTTGCTAGGCGCTCCTCTTCCGCCTTCTTTGCTTTCTCTGCTTCTGCTTTGTCGGCAGCTTCCTTGGCGGCACGCTCCTCTTCAGCTTTCGCCGCTGCTTCCATCGCTTCTTTTGAGAGGCGCTGCTCTTCAGCTTTCTGGGCAGCCTCCTTGGCAAGACGCGCTGCTTCTGCATCCTCGGCTTTGCAAGAGCAACCTATAACCTAGAGCATAATTGCATACTGCACCTGTCCGTGACTTGCAAGCCAGGTTTGTCTCATACATGAAACGATCAAGTGCATGGATGGATGACCTGCGCACCGGCAACCATCCCCATTTGGGGGCCTTGCATCTCAAGGCTAAAGGCTCGCCTGAGTGGTACACCAGGATGTGTAAGCTGTATGATCTCGCAGACTCTCAACCTTCTGCTTCACGAAAAATTCGCCGAAAACTCGAAAATCCTGCCCCTCTTCCCCTACCCGTCTGCATCAAAGGCACCTTCCGGAGCTGATTCAGCAGCGTCCTTCGTGGAGGGCCGGGTTGGCGAGTCGGTTTGTGATCGGTTTAGGGAAACCCTAAAGGGTTTCGACTCACACACTCGCAAAGCAGGCTTTAGGGTTTAGGGTTCTGGGCCCGGCTGTGCGACGCACTCGAGAGTAACCCCGGCGCTGGAGGATGTAGGGGCCTGATATTCATCTCAATAGTGACTAGGGCTTGGGGGGGAGGCAGTATGGGACAGTTATATAGGGACTAAAGGCGATGTAGTATGATAACATGACATTACCCGAGGACAGCCACCTGTCAGCCGCCACGACCCCTGTGAATTTAAACAACAAAACCACACGGGTTACTATAATTGCAGCCCTTGCAAAATTCCATCTTCTAACTCTTCTAATAGACCCTTATTTCGGGGCCAGTATGCGGACTAGGGGCTTACTATCCTTAGGAACGAAAAGAGCCCTAAAAGGGTTTAGGGTTCATATACCATTTGGGGATTCATAGTATAAGGGTACAGGGCCCCTACTTTTAAGGGTCATTCGGTCCTTAGGGATAAGGGCCATTCGGAGAGTTTACAGGGACTTCTGCCTGGCCCATCTCTGGAGCACCAGCACCGCCCAGGACCGGAGGCACCGTCGATGCCGTTTCCAAGTGACCTGTCCGGACTCAGGGTTTAGGGATAGGTTTTCGGGTGTTTTGAGTGCTTTCTGCCTGTGGGGTTTAGTTAGAGGGTTTAGGGTTTTCGGCCTTTGGGTTTATCCGTAGGGTTTCGGGCTTCGGGCTCAGGGTTTTTAGGGTTGAAGAGGCTAAGAACCAGGAGTTTGGATTTGACGATGCTGATGCACTTACTGATCCCTATACGCTATACATGCCATCGCCCTTCACGGCACGGCTTTTTGTCAAAATGATAAGTTTCAAAACATACATCTGCTAGGCCAGTCCAGCCTGAATGGTCGCGGCGGCAGCCGCTCTGCGTCTCCGCTGGGCCTGTTGGGCATCCGCTTGAACTCGCGCGCTGACTGGCTGATTGGCATTCCTCTCAGAGAATATGCCGCTTGAAGTGCCATGCTACTGCAGTAGTCACTAGTGCTGTTGCTATTACTCCTACTATTGCACCTTCTCGCCCAAACTGCGAACTCTGGGCCAAGCCCGCCCCTCAGCTCACCTCAGCAAAGGAGTTACGGACACCGTACCCGTAACAAATTGATTCCTACTCTCTGGCAAGAATCCAATTCCAAAAGCCTGTCCTGAGGCCCCTGCATTGCGGATCCCTTAAAGCGGACCCTTGTAGCTTTATGGAACTTTTTGCGGAACCCCTTAGAGGACCCCTCGAAGGAACTCTCTATTTCTCTTTTTCAACGAACCTACAACAGTTTCCCCCTGAAAGGCCCGAAGTTTACGACGTTGAATTGCCTCCGGAGCCTCCTCCGAACGATCCAGGGCAGCACCTTGGGATTCCCAGTGTCCAAAGGTGGCTTCGTTTAGGGCTTCGGGGTTTGGGGTTCGAGGGTTTGGGGCTTCGGGGTTTCGGCGCTTGCTTGAGGGTTT